TTCACACAAGCAAAGCATCAACAGTGGATTCAGTTATTATGCCTGTGTGAAGTCGTGCAGGCTAGATAGAAGTGAAAAAGCTGCATATCCTCCGCCATTTGATAGTGGCATTGGTAATTTGCTTACGGTCATTTTGTATGTCCACGTTGCTGTTCGCCTTGCTCCCAGTTTGGGAAAAGAGTAAATCTGGGAGACCATGTAACTCACCATGTGATCTTGGGCCTGCCTCTCAGCCTCACCAACCTCGCAGGGGTGTTGTGGAGATTAAATGTGGAACTGGAGAGCCATGTGCATTGTGCAGCACCTTGAGCTCATTGGAGAAAAAGGTGGGATAGACATGCCATAAATAAAAAGGTAAAGGTACCCCTCCCCGTACGGGCCAGTCTTGACAGACTCTAGGGTTGTGCGCTCATCTCACTCTATAGGCCGGGAGCCAGCGCTGTCTGCAGACACTTCCAGGTCACGTGGCCAGCGTGACAAGCTGCATCTGGCGAGCCAGCGCAGCACATGGAAACACCGTTTACCTTCCCGCTAGTAAGCGGTCCCTATTTATCTACTTGCACCCGGGAGTGCTTTCGAACTGCTAGGCTGGCAGGCGCTGGGACCGAGCAGCGGGAGCGCACCCCGCCACGGGGATTCGAACCGCCGACCTGACGATCGGCAAGTCCTAGGCGCTGAGGTTTTACCCACAGCGCCACCCGCGTCCCCGTATTATGCCGTAAATAATAAACAATAAATCTTTCCCATAGGAGCATCCATGTGCTTTCCCCAAGAAATATATAGCCCAGCCTGCACATTCCTCCCTGGCCCTAATACTCAACATATAGCAGAAGCTGCCGTCAGGGTGATGCGCCCAAGGCATGTGGGATGTCAGGATAGTATTTATTGGTATAAAAGCAGCTTGTGATGCTTGGACTCACATAGGCCAGGGGAACTTGATAAAACAGCATGTGCACTGATGCTCCTGTATCAATTATGTGGTCACTTTAGTGTTATGGTGAAGCAGTCAAGTAAGTCAGATTCATCATCATCTGTTGAACACAAAGCACAGGAAGCTGCCTGATACTGACTCTGTTCATTGGTCTATCCAGAGTATGCCTATTGCCTATTGACACTGAGTGGCAGCAGCTCTCCAGAATTTCAGGCAGGTGTCTCTCCCAACCCTACCTGGAGATGCTGAGGATTGAAGCTGTGAGCTGCATCCCCAATCTACTGATCTAACCTACTGGTGTGCCCGCTCCAAAGAATTTTTGAGAAGCTCTGTTAATTGTGTCTTGTGACACATAAAGTACCATTTTAGATTTAGATTTAACCAACATACCCACTTTAATTAGCACACATCTCACTCCCAAAATAGGTTTTACACTTAAAATAGTTGTGGTAGCAAAGTTCTGAAAAGGGGGGAGCATGGTGGCAGTCAGATAGGTACAGTTACAATGAATTTCCATGCATCTCTGCTCAGAAGAGAGCCCCACGGAGTTTGATGTAACTTACTCCCAGGTAAGTGGATGTGGGGTCACAGCCCTCTCCATCAGCTAGCTGGACAGCGGGAATAGGGGAGAGCCCAGGAATGAAAGAAGGAGAAGGCTTCCACTTGTCCCATGCTTTCTAGGTAAAGGTAAAGGTACCCCTGCCCGTACGGGCAAGTCATGTCCGACTCTAGGGTTGTGCCCCCATCTCACTTAAGAGGCCGAAGGCCAGCGCTGTCCAGAGACACTTCCGGGTCACGTGGCCAGCGTGACGAAGCTGCTCTGGCGAGCCAGCACCAGTGCAGCACATGGAAACACCGTTTACCTTCCCGCTATAAAGCGGTACCTATTTATCTACTTGCACTTAGGGGTGCTTTCGAACTGCTAGGTGGGCAGGAGCTGGGACCAAAAGACGGGAGCTCACCCCGCCGCGGGGATTCGAACTGCCGACCATGCAATCGGCAAGCCCTAGGTGCTGAGGATTTACCCACAGCGCCACCCGCGTCCCTAATACTTTCTAGGCACGAGTCCAAATTGTTTTCTGCTTGTCCCAGTGCTTTCCCAGGGAAAACCCGCTCTGTTAAATCAGAATAAACATGCTGAAAACCCGGTTGATGTTTGCTTTGATTCAGCACTAAAGAGTGAGTTTTCTTGGGAGAAGTCTGTGGGATAAGCAGACATCTGGGAGCCCTAGGAGACATCATTGGTGTTTGTGACTGATGGAAAGCATAATGGTGAAGAGTAAGAGAGAGTGACACTCTTTGGGAATCTGAAAGTGGAAAGTTCAAGAATTCTGTAGTGAGGGCACTGGGGCGTCTAGCAGTTATTTGCACTCAGGCATCAGTTTTTATCTCTTTTTGCATTTTGAATGTTTGGTTTCCCTTGCATCTGGCTCCAGCAAGGAATCTTGTAGCAGAGCAAACTAGATTGTTTGAGCTGTGGCTTTGTCTGGGAACATTGCTCTCTGAAGCTTTCTGCTATGTTTCTGCAGTGGGAGGGAGCAAAGAGGGCAATGCCACCATGGATGGGCAAGTCTTCCCCTATAGCATCCAGAGGAGAGGTGTGCATATGGACACCTGGGTGGTTCCAGATACAATAGGCAAGCACCAACATGATCCATAGGCACTAAACACCAGAGCCAGTGCCTTCGCTATATATGTAATTTGAGCAATTAATGTGCATAACAACCAGACATTATGCACATTAACCAGGCCTCATGGAGAATATGCACATAAAAGGCAACTGTGCACATTTCCCAGTCAATGTACATAATCTCCAACAGGCCTTAGGGAATGTCCATATCTCAGCCGAATGTTGTATATTCTCCAGACATTAGGAGATAATCTCCAACAGGCCATATCTTGACTGCATTTTGTATGTTCTCTGGGCAATATGCATAGTCTCCAAGAACCTCCCCCCGCACCATCTCCTGTTTAGAACTGTGCAATCTGCACCCACCCACCCCTGTTACCTTTTGTCCCTCTTACCCCCCCCCATGAAATACCCTCCCACTGATCAGCTGAGGAAAAGGAAGAAGGATGAGACCCCATATTATTAACATTTTTTCCTGCAGTCTATTCCCCCTTTCATCACTCTCAGCTGTTCTCCAGTCAGCTGAGCAGCACAGGGAGCATCCCAGGAAGAGGAAAGTTTTAAATCCTGCCCCCCAGTGCTACTATCAAGCTTGTGGGAAAGCTTAATAGCAGCATGAGATCAATCATAATAAAATTCAAAGAGGAATTTTAACCAGATTGCCTTCTCCTATTCTCCTTTCTGCAGTCTTTTCAAGGCTTTAAGACAAGGGCATCGACAGCTCAGAAATGCATCACATCACATATGCATAATCCAAATTAGGGTGTGCGCTTTCTCTGTCCAAGGAGAAACAAGCTGACACACACAGAGCCCTTTTAGACATTAGCCAAAATCAAGTGGGAAAGCTTGTTCTGGATTGTGTGCTTTTCAGGTTGCAGCTGGGGGTGGGGTTTCATGTTTAAATCCACCTATCTAAAACTTTCTCTTCATCTAGAAAACTAACATTCCATGGAGAATTGTTCAACCTCATATTCTCCCTGAAATGCTACCTTTCTATATCCGGGGAGGTTTTTTAAACATGAAACCTCCCACCTGCACCCTGAAATGGTACAATTCAGGGAAAGTTCTTGGTTCTGTTAAATGCATCACAACCTCAGTCAGCAGCACGTCCTCTCCAGAACGAGAGCCATCTGCACATCTATTTTTACCACTGGGAGAGAGATTCCCCTCCCCCACCCTGCCCCAGGAAGACAGCAAAGATGTAGATTTCATACATTTTAAGATTCTTTAATTCAACAATAGAACATTACACTCTCAGGTGGGAAATGAATTTGGATTAGGCAGGATAAAAAAAATAATGATGATGAATACTTTTGTTTCAATAGGATCTATACAAAAACATTTGCATTTCCCAGTTCGCTATTCTTTATTCAAGCAGAGTATTTGATTGCTAAAAGCCGCTTTCCAGTCTGCAGCACTTGCTAAAATTTTTAAAGGTCAGCAGAAATCTTATACAAAAAAAAGTTTAGGAAATTAAACACGAGTCGTTTTTAAAATAATCATTCAGATATAAAAAAAATATAGCAAGTGAGAGATTCAAACTTTTTTTTTTGCAATTTTGTCCTAGGGTCTCTAGATTAATAAGAACAGAGAATGCATTTTTAAGGTCATTTCATACATAAACCTTTTGCCAACAGACAAATTCCTCAAGGTTTGTTCATAGCTTGCAGAGAGCACAGTTACAAGCTTTCTCTACACACTTGCAAGTCTTTGTGCAAAAGAGTGTAACTATCTGATATGTACAGCTCCACTATATGTGTAGACAGGTACACAGACTGCACACTTCTTGAATGCAAATGTGAACACGCCTATAATAGTGTTCTGGAGCATTTTGATGCATGGCTCAATATATTAAACTGGCAGAATGAACAGAAGGAAATTATCAGAAAGTTGCCATTTGGTCCCAACCCCCTCATATGCAATATTAACTGCATTTTGCCATTTCTGTTCATATTGCCTGCAAAGGGGGGGGGGTTCTGTACACATTCTGGGAGAAACCAGCTCCCAGTGAATTGTGGGGAAAGAGGGGGATTATACCATAAAAAACTGAAAACCCAAGAAGTCACTCCTACTAAACCATCCATAATTGTGTGTGTGTGAGGAAGGGGAGATAGTTTCTCACACCTCACATCTTTCCTTCACATCTTGTGGCAGGAAATAAAGTGGGAGGGGGTGTTAAGGGACAGGAAAAGAGGGAGAAGAACAAAGGGAAGGGCAGCCTGGTATCTGTTCTCAGTGCATCTTATAAGGCACATTTCAACTGCAGTGGTACCTCGGGTTAAGTACGGTACTTAATTCATTCCGGAGGTCCGTTCTTAACCTGAAACTGTTCTTAACCTGAAGCACCACTTTAGCTTATGGGGTCTCCTGCTGCCGCCGCACTGCCGGAGCACGATTTCTGTTCTCATCCTGAAGCAAAATTCTTAACCCGAGGTAATATTTCTGGGTTAGCGGATTCAGTAACCTGAACCTTATGTAACCTGAAGCGTATGTAACCCGAGGTACCACTGTGCAGGGAGCAGGCCGGAGACCTCTGTCCATGGTGCCAGTCCTAGTGCTGGATCTTAAAAAGGATACATTCCTTGAGCTGTGGTCATTTTGCTCCGGCAGAGGTCTCTAGAGCAACTGGGAGCTGTAAATCGATCACATCCCCAAGTGTCTCCTGACAAGAAGAATGAATTGTGTGGGTGGGGAAACTTCTGAGGCAGGGAATCCTGACCAGAGGCTGGCTCAGACAACAGCAGCAGCAAAAATAAAAATAATAACAACAACAGCCAGCTACAGATAATAAGTTATTACTCCCAGGTTTGTTGTTATTTAGGGAGTGTGGAGCAGAATGAATTATGACACTGCTGCATTGCAGGGGTTGGACTAGATGACCTTTGGGGTCCCTTCCAACTCTACAATTTTATGGTTCTATAACCAGGGGAGGGAGGGATTCACCATAAAGTAAAAATCCTAACCCAAGGTTGCAATCCTATGCTGCTTACTTGAAAGTAAGCCCAGTGGAACCCAGTGGGACACACTGGGATGATCCTGTCCTGATTTAATTGGAAATGAGTCCCGTTAATTTCATGCGCATGGGACTGCTGCCTTTCTAGAATGCCCAGGATTTGCCTAGAAGTTATAGGCTGACTCCTCAGTGATCAGACCATCTGTGCAACCCCAGTTATGCCTGCTCAGAAGTGTGAGTTCGAGGGGACTCGTTCCCAACTATGTGTGTGTGGGATTGCAGACTTTGCTTGCCTCCTAAGACAGCTGGTCACCTCTTAAGGAACTCATCTCTGCTCCCTCTTTCCTGCTGCCGTGCTACTGGAAGGTCAAGTAGCAGAAATTAAGGCAGATTTATCTTTGCACCGTGCCAATAAAAAGCACAGATGTGCAGAGGGGGGGACAGAAGCAAAACTGTATTGAAAGTGCTATGGAGCAGGAGACAGAGCCAGTGCCCAGCAAAGTTATGTTTCAGCACCATGACCTGTATTTTTCACTCCAGAACAGCTGGCAGAGCTCCTAATTGTTCCTTGGGAGCTTAGCTCATCCCATCACTGCAGGATATTCCATCTTAAAAAGAGGTCAAGTGGCAAAGTTAAACATGGATGTTGGACCACATCTCCCATCACCCCTGACCTTTGGGCCATGATGGGAGGTGGAGTCCAGCAACAATTGAAGACCACCAATTTTTCCATCTCTGGTTTAGGGGACAAGGTGGTGGGCAGAGAAAGACAAAGAAAGGCAGAAGGGGGTGTAAGTCAGAAGGGGTAAGGGAACCCTGAAAAAGATAATAGCATTAGAAAGCAAGGGCCCACAGAAGAGGGTGGAAAAGAGGAAAACAGAGCCCCTTATCTCCAAAGTCCTTGACATTTGTATGTGGCGTAGTCCAGCTTTTATCCCCGGAGCAGAGTCTCCTGGCTGTCGGGGCACTGCTTCTCCCGCTGTGCATCTGCTCCTTTCCCCAGGTGGTTCTGGCTGTGGCCGGAGGAGTAGCTGGCCGACTTGTCCCCACCAGATCCTGCCAAATGCCCTGGGCTGCAGCAGAGGACGGCGGCGCAGGCCTGTCGGAAGCGGGGGTCAAAGAAGGCATAGAGGAAAGGGTTGAGGCAGCTGTTGATGTAGGCCAGGCAGCTGCTGTACGGGTGGAGATTGCTGAGGAAGGCGTGGAAGCCGCAAGACAAGGGCATCACCCCCCAGTCCATCAGCATGTAGATGGTCTTCACAAAGTGGAAGGGCAGCCAGCAGACGGCGAAGGTGGCCACCAGGACGATGATGATGGTCAGCAGGCGCTTCCGCTTCCTCAGCGCTTCGGTGCGCTCCTTTCGGAAGTGGCCGGCAATGGTGCGGGCAATGAAGAAGTAGCAGGTCAGCATGATGGCAAAGGGAAGCACAAAGCCCAGGAGGGTGGAAGACAAGCCCAGACCTGCTTCCCAGACCTGCTCGGTCTCATCGGTGGCCACACTGGAGAAATTCATGTAGCACGTCACTTTGTCTGTCCCGGTGAAGACGGTTGTGCTCCGGAAGATCATGGCTGGCAAGGCTAGGAGAACTGCCATGGCCCAGAGGGTTAGGGTCACCAAAAGCCCACTGACCTTGGACCTCAGCTTGGCATTTGCGATGGGGCGGACGATGGCCAGGTACCGGTCAAAGCTGAGGCCTGTGAGGCAGAAGACACTGGCGTACATGTTGACAAAGACCAGGTAGCTGCTGAGCTTGCAGGCAAAAGAGCCAAAGGGCCAGTCGTAGTCCAGGATGACGTAGGTAGCCCAAAGTGGCAAGGTGACCACAAAGGTGAGGTCGGCCACTGCCAGGTTGGCAATGAACGTGTCTGCAGACCGCCGTTTCTCCTGGCCTCCGCAGAAAATGGTCCATAGTACCAGGCCGTTGCCAGTGGTGCCTAGGAAGAAAACCAGCAAGTAGATGGAGGGAATCAGGATCCTGGATGAACTCCAGTCCTCGTAGTCACACTCCAGAATGCCTGGGTAGCTGTCAGTGTCGTTGCTGGACTCCATGCCTGCTCAAGAAGGAGAATGTGGAAGAGGCCTCTCTTCCAATCTTGTAGAATCCTTCACCAATCTGGATCCACTCCGTACAAGTTCCTTCCTTGTTGCAAGGAGGAAAAAGTCCCAGGGTCTCAGCTCATTTGCCTCTCCTGCGCCTCCTTATCACAGCTTTAGGCAGATCTGGCCAGGGGCTTGCTCAGCCTGTGTGTCATCTCCTCCTCACTCTCTCTCTCACACACTCAGGAGGCTGCAGTTCCTTCCTTGGGATTAGTCTTAAAATCCAGGCGACCCAGCCCCCTTTCCCACCCCTCCCTTTGCTTTCACTCAACATCCTTATGTGAATTGGACGACTTGACCCCCTGCAGTGCTGGGCAGCTCCATCTGTCATTTGTATCCACCCACTTGCAAACAAACCATACACATCCTCTCATCCTAAACTCTCCAGAGCAAAAAGAAGAAGGAAGAAAGGGGGGGTGGAATGCAGCTGAAGTCCAACCAGAGATGCTGGTGGGTGCGGGTGGAAGGAAGGCTCACTGCCCCAGTTCACAAACGCCTTGCTAACCTGATCTAATTTGTCTGTCAGTTTCATCATGAGCCTCTCTTAGTTTTAAGAGCAGTGCAACATGGAACAAAAGGGTGCCCAAAGCAAAGAAAGCATCCACTTACGTCAATCCTACTTAGATGCAGTAATGCTGTATTTATTTTGAGTGGCATTTGTTCATGCAAATAGGTTTGGTGGGGTCGAGGATAGTGTCACGAGGGAGCTTGGCGGATGCAAAACCAATCTGAATTTTAAATAGGTTCTGCTTGGTCCTTGGGAAGGATGGAGATAAGCTGGAGACAAAATGCAGATGCTGCTTATCCTTCCAGCAACATCTCAGCTTACGTGATTGGTCCCAGAGATGAGAAAAAGAAGGCTTGGGGTGTGCAGAGTATACGAGATTGCGTTTCCAAGCTTTAAGGAGGGGTGGGATTTACAGGGGGCCCAAACATTTGAAGAGCGAGATGCGTTTCCAAGCTTTAAGGAGGGGTGGGATTTACAGGGGGCCCAAACATTTGAAGAGCGTCATTGATCTAGGAACTCTCTCCCCACAGTCTAGGCCTGGGATAGGGAACCTGTGCTGGCCCATGTTGTAGGACACAATCTCCCAACAACCCTTGCCAAAATGACCAGAGGTTGGCCGCCACTCCTCTGGACTAAACAGATTTATCTGTTCTGCACCTCTGAGATCAATAATGGCATCGTTTTATTTTTTAAAAAAAATAATCCAAATAGCTTTTTATTAAAAAATATTGCTGCAATCTTGAATTAGAACTTTGAAATCCATATCTTTTCTATTTTTCCAAACAAAATGATTTATCTGAAATTGGCTGTAACTGATGTGGGCAACAATCCTTGCCATCTCCAGCACCAGTCATTTAATGCAGTAAAAGTTTTCCTGCAGCAACGACATCAGCTGTGAGTGGCATATGTATGTTGCATGTGCTACTAAGGAATCCAAAATGAAGTTTGTTAACTAAATGGTGACTCCAACCAGACACTACCCAGTAAGGTGATGCACAGGAGAAAGAATGATGGTCTCTATAGCCTGCTAACTCTCTTTCTAATATGTGGCTGCAGAGTAAAATATTTGTAGGACTGCAAGTCTCATAAAATGGCAATGTCCTCATACTTATAGGGACGCAGGTGGCGCTGTGGGTTAAACCACAGAGCCTAGGACTTGCCGATCAGAAGGTCGGTGGTTCGAATCCCCGTGACGGGGTGAGCTCCTGTTGCTCGGTGCCAGCTCCTGCCAACCTAGCAGTTCAAAAGCACATCAAAGTGCAAGTAGATAAATAGGTACCACTCCGGCAGGAAGTTAAACGGCGTTTCCGTGTGCTGCTCTGGTTCACCAGAAGCAACTTAGTCATGCTGGCCACATGACCCGGAAGCTGTACGTCGGCTCCCTCGGCCAATAAAGCAAGATGAGCACTGCAACCCCAGAGTTGGCCACCACTGGACCTAATGGTCAGGGGTCCCTTTACCTTTTACCTCATACTTAGAGTAAAAACCAAAATAGAAATTCCATGTGTTGATTGGAAACAAACTGACTTACAAACCTTTGATTGAGATGAATACAAATATGGAGAATCTGGAAGAGCTTTGAGAAAGAGTTGCAGGAAACCCTATCAGACTCAGCCCATGAAATGGTACCTCTGACCTGACTTGCCAAAAGGTCATATAAAAAGTCTACTCTGAAGACTAATTTGAACCCAGGTCACAGGAGATCTCAGGACAAGACCAGACCCTCTTTGCTAATAGTCAACAGCAGCTACAATCAATTTCTTTGAAGTGTCTACAGTAGTGCCATTGCTTATTGGATTTTATCTGCATTCCCAAGAACATCTGGCTTATTGTACTAAAAAATGGCTTTTGTGCTGACCAGAATGCCATGCCTTATGGTCACGTATGGCTTTGGTGTTTGATCTCTCTCTGATCATTTTATCTGCTCTTTGTGTTTTGCTGGTCTGCCTGATAACTACTGATATCTGTCCTAGTCAGCTTCAGTTCTCTTATGTTTATAGTGCATGCGTTGTGATACCATCAGTATAACAAGACAGCCTCTATGCTGTTTAGGCTTAAGTTTTCCTCCCTGAAATGCTGGACTTCTCAATTGCTTAAGAAAACTAGGAAAGAAGTGTACTTTGATCTAGTTAAACAGACCCGGAATGCTTACACTATCTTGACTGTGATTTGCCTGCCTTCAAGGACTTCAGGGTGGTATACAAATCTTCTCCCCACCCACCTCCATTTTATTCTTACAACAATCCTGCAAGGTAGGGTATGGTGACCAGTCTAAGGTGAGCATCATGGCTAAGTGGGAGATTTGAACTTTGGTCTTCCCAGTCTTCATCCAACCAATGCAACACACTGCCTCTCTCATTGTTTCACTCTGGAAGGATTAACAACAGATATCTGCTCAGGTCTACAGATGGGAAATTAAAAACAAGAAAGCATGTCTGGCTTAGTCAAGGGAGCAATTTCCCCCAAATCATGCAAGCCATTTGTTGAAAAGTAGAAAATCAAAGCGAGCCTGTGTGGTACTGACGTAGCAGGCCAGATGGCCAAGTGGCTGAGCCTATCAGTTTTCCTAAGTCTAACTAAGTAGTGAGTTCATAGCAAAAGGTGACATTTGAACCAGAGACTTCCTAGTTCACTGTTCACGGCCCCCTTCCAACATTATCAAAATCACTAGATGAACTTGGGTATCAGTATATTATGGTGTGATCCTATACTAGCATCAAAAGAAGCCCCATTGAGCGCAATGAAGCTTATTCCCAGGTAAGTGGGTACAGTGATTGTAGATCACTAGGTAGCCCTTGGGAACATCATCATTTCTAGAAAACATATCCACTTCATGTGAGAAACTAGCCAAAAATGTCAAGCCTCTCTTTTGCCTCATTTGAAATGAGAACACGATTTAGAATAAACCTTGGTATGTGTGCTTCATGAGCCAAGATCTACAATTCTATGGCAGGCAAGCTATATATAGTGAAATACTTCTTCAGAAATGCTAAGCCATTAGGGGTTGTTTCACCCATGAATGAATTTCCATGGAGGACATTATGAAGCGGGTCACATGTGACAAACACATAGGCTTGCACATGTACACACATCCAAATTCATGTGTAGGAAAGCCAGTTTAGGTGATAAAGCCTTCAATATAATGTTTTAAAACACACAGGCAACTAACTGAAAGCACTGTTTTCACTACCCTTCCAAAAGTTTGGGACTACAACCACCAGCCCAGTCAGCATGAACATTTTGTTTTAAGTGGCACATAGATCACATCAGGGTAGCCTGTCTCTTGATGGAAAGGACATTGATCCCAGTGCTTCTGGGTCTATACTGTTTCCATATTGCATAAGAACATAGGTGCCTGCTGGTCAGACAGAGGGTTTATTTAATCCAGCATCCCATTTTCCACAGTGGCCAATCAAATGCTTCTGTGAAGCCCCCAAGCAAGACACGAGAGCAACAGCCATCTCCCATTCATGCCCACCATCTTAAGTTCAATAAGTATATTTTGACCTTGGAAGTTCTAAACGCGTTCTACATAAAGACTACAATCTGCTATGCTCCATCACCAGCCTCAAGGTTAAAAAAAATTGAGAGATTTCATGTTCCAGCATTTCTCAGAGTCACTCCATACAATCTAATGGACTTTTATCTCCTGAAATTCAGAGGCTACTACTAGTCAGGGCATGTCTTGGGAGTCAAGGAGGCTGGAGGAAGAGCTGTGCAGGTGAAAACAATCCCATCCTATTTTAAAGAGGTTAAAGATGTGTCATAATCACGTCTGACGCTTGAGCTATTCAAAGAGACACGTGGAACAGACCTTGACTTCAGTTCCTGTACCAGAAACAGGATTATTCCGAGAATCTTACAAACAGCATTTTTCACCCCTAAATTGCTATTTCAAGCCTGTGATAAACAGGTAGGGTAGAACAGCAATTTGATCAGCAAAGAGCAGTTTTGTAAAGGTGCCAAAATTTCAGAAACCTCCTGAGTCATTACCACTTTACAGTCTAAATAGACTCCAGCAGATCTTTCTTTATCTTTCTGTTCAAAACTTTTAATTTTAAAAACACAAGAACTTCAGCTAAAAAAATAGAATATGACTGACTTCTCAAAGCACTTTACATATATGCTATGTGAGAAATCATCAAAACAGCTATTTAGGCCAGCGGTGATGAACCTATGGCCCTCCAGAATGTTGCTGGAATAAAATTCCCATCATTCCTTATGACTGCACCGACTGGAGCTGATGGGAGATGGAATCTAAAAACATCTGGTCAACCACTGGTTCCCCACCCCAGCAAGGGACATCTTTCTTTCCACCTCCAAGATTAAAAAGCATATTGGGGGTGATATTTTGAGCTGGGAAATTGCCAGAATAAAAATGGTTAAGCACCCTCCCATCTGTCTTTCTCACACCCCACCTTGTAGCCTGCCCAGACCAAGTTTGGCTTTTAAAAACAATAATGAATGGAGAGGGCTAAAACTGTTGCTGCCATATCACGTGTAGTTTGGAGCCAAATGTTGGAAGACCCAGGACAGACAAAAGGAAGGACATCTTCACATATTGGATTCACTCCCACAAGTAATGGTGGCTACCAACTTGGATGGCTTTAAAAGGCTAACAAGGGCTACTAGCCATGGTGGCAATGTTCTACCTCGACTAAAGGAGGCCACAAGTTTCTGAATACCAGTTGCTGGAAACCAGAGAGAATGCTCTTGTGCTCAGAGGTCCTGCTTGCAGGGTTCCCAAAGGCATCTTGTTGGCCACGGTGAGAACAGGATTCTAGACTGGATGGGCCACTGTGCCTGATTCTGCAGGGCTTTCCTTATGTTAGGGCTGGTCCACACTTCTGTTTGCCCCATGCTTTTCTTTGTCCCACCACTTTCCCTGAGAAAACCTGCTGTTTACTGCTAAATCAGAACAAATATCCATTGGCTTTTCTACAGATTGACATTTGTTTTGATTCAATAGCAAAGATTGGGTTTTCCAGGGGAAAGCAGCAAGGCAAAAGAAAAACCTCTCATACCCATGGCTAGAAATCATGGGACAAATGGAAGGGGGGGAAATGGAAGTGTGGAGAGAGCCAGGGGCTTGATTAAGGTCACCTAGAGAGCTTGTGGCAGAGTGCAAGATTGGTCCTGGTTCATCTAGCTCAATCTCATAGTACTGCACGTACTCCCAGACTCTGAAATATCTTTTAAATTAAGTCGATGGATGAGAGTAGGAGCTTTTCTAGGAAAACAAAAGGTGTGCATGATGTGACTTTATCATTACTATTTAATATGGGTCTGGTATTGACACGATGTCAGATGTTAGACAGCTTTGGGAAAAGCAACTCGTATTTTAAATTGCAAATTCCAGCCAGGTCTAGTCTAGAAACTGGCGTTACAAATCAAGCTCAGAGAGGAAGGATTGTGAATTTGAGAGTGGCCCAGATGAAAGAGTGGGGACCAGACACAGCAAAAGGGGATTAGACGTGACTATGCAATAAATAAACTCAGAGAGCAGCATCTCCAGTCTCTGGTGTTCCCTTGATTCCATGCTGCCCAATCTCTCCCGCCATGCCCTGGTCAATTACCTTATTATTACATACAAGCAAATACGACCAAGTAACTGCCCTCAGTTTTCCTCAGAGGGGGGGAGCTAGAAATACCTGGGGGTATCATATTTGAAAACTTCACCTGTCTAAAGCAGCCTTCTCCAACATGATGCCCCCAGGCATTTTGGACCACAGCTGTTAGCAGCAGCCAGCATGGCCAATGTTGAGGGATGATGGGAATAAGTGTTTGGTTCAACAACATCAAAGGAGGGTGGTACCTGGTTGGGGGAAGGCTGGTCCATAATAAATGCAAAGGAAGATTCAACTTCTAAGAGACTTGGCCTTTTGTAAAAACAACTCTCCTACGCTCTCTTCCATCTTTGTTGGGGACACAGCTACAGTCCTACCCTCATACCATCCATTTAAAGCACCAAGACTCCTGGAAACTCAAATTTACTCCTCATAGGGCTACAGCTCCCAGCACCCTTAGCAAAATATAGTTCCCAGGATTCTATGGGGGAAGCCATTGGGCTTTAAATGACAGCCAGTGTGATGTAGCGGTTCAAGTCCCCACTCAGCCATGAAGCGATTTGGGGAGCCTGGGGCCAGTCACCCCAGTCTCACCTACCACCTATCCACTACCTTGAACTCCTTGGAATAAATAGAAATGTATGTTGTGTCAAAGAAAAATCTTTCTTTGATTGTTGTCAGTGTTTTGATGCGCTGGGCTAGGCTAGTGAGCCGACAAGCATGTGCTACTGGCACAGAGGTACAATGCCAACCAGTTTAGCTGGAACGCTCCCTTCTCTGCAGTCAGGCCTGGAAACGTCAGCCAGGCTCCTTTCGATCGATTGAGATGTGCAGCAACAGCTGCAGGGGCCTCCCTCCAAAGCGCCGGCTGCCACTCGCCTGTCTATTTCCGTCACTTTTCCCTCAGTGCTGAAAGTGCGCCTGGATGTTGGAGAAGATGCCTGGCTGAGATTGGGAGGGGGGGCAGGAAATGGAAGGGAGACAGGAAGGAAAGGACAGGAGAGCTGGGGCCAGCATACAGTAAGCAAAGTATTTATAGCATGTCTCACTGTAACAATGAGGGGATGTGAGCAGTGGAGAATCTCTGCTTGGATGCAGATCAGCTTAAGGAGATAACAGACCTCTTTCCTCCCATCCAGAGCTGAATGACTATCCATTGTAGGCATTGCAGCACAAGTAAATCAGGCCCCAAGCCCATTATCCTTGGAGTGCCATAGACCTTCTCGGCACAACAGATAGAATAAGAGAATTTCATAGAATCATAGGATCATCCAGTCCAGCCGAAGCATCCAGGACAGAATGGGAAGTGAAATTCCAAAGGTATGTAGTCTTGCTATTGTGAGGGGAGGCAGCACTTGATGCTTTGCACTCCCAAGCACAGGTGAGGATTTGTGCACAGCCCTCAAAAACTGAGATACATCACTCTTCCCTACTTTGCCAGTTTACGTTCTCCACTAGATTGCTATAGTGTAGTCTCTAAATAATTTTGAAAGCTAAATGAAAAGGGTCTCAGCTTAGCATACGCAAGGGAAGCTTGCTGCTTCTCATCAGCCATTTTGCACACAAAAATCTTTAGAGTTATGACTCTGATGCAACAGTCATTGTCCAACAGGAATGAGGAACCATTGACCCTCCGGATGTTGTTGGACTGCAGTTCCCATCATCCCTGACCATTGGCTGTGCTGGCTGAGGCTGATGGGAGCTGGAGTCCAACAACAGTGTAAGATTATCTACACCACAATCATAATATAAATGAATGTGCTAAGTGTTCTTTAGTGTAGCGTAGCCTTGTGGGCAGGAAAGGGGAAAAAATCATCTCAACATGAAATTCTAAGCTTTTCCTCCCTGCCAGTTTAACAAACATGTTTTTAATTTGCACCAAAACAAATTTATGCACAATTGTATGCTTATGTCCATATGAAACAGGAGGGGAGAATGAAACACAATGAAATGATGCTGATTGGAAACTTGGTTTTTTAATTGTTTGTTTTTATTAGCACAGACATAGTTTTCCGTTTAAGCGCTCTTCTGCAAATATTTCAGTAATTAAATATAATAGCCAAAAAAAGAGTTTTAGAAATGCAGCTAACACAGTGCTGACCAGAAACATAATAGTGACAATGTGTGGGGATATATATGTGTGGTCTTGAGCTTGCACATTTCATATGACACTGCACGTATAAAACACACTTTTGTTCCATTCTTTCAACACAAAAGCCAGATTTTCTGCTGTTGGGCAGGGGGAGGGGAGAACATGGAGAAGAGGGAACACAGGACTATGATTTAATGGCATCGTATAAATACCCTGTAAAGAGTGGGTGTGTAGTGTGACAATTGCAAAGCAACAGTGGGCTTGGCAGCATCCAAGTCACAAATCCACACTGAAATGAGACAAACACCATGACATCACATCACGTCTCTCTCCTCTTCACCCCCCACTCCCTGCCAAACACATAACACATACTTTACATAGAACAAATACTGAAAATGTGGAATGTTTGTGCAAGCTGAAAGATTTAGGAGCGTCTGCAACATCTGTAGTGATGGGGAAAGCAGGGGAACATTCTCAGGCATTTTCATGCTTACCCAGGTCTGTTCAAAAGATGGCAAGGGGGAAGAAAGCGAAGTATTTAAAATATTTTTCATTTATTAAGGCAATAACATTCATTTAAAAATACGGCAATTTAAGACTTAACACTCTCGTTTTTCTGAAACCCTTGCAACTAACCATATCCATAAGCAAGAATACTGGAAATTTATATAAATTTGAATTTTTTTCAAACATATTTGAGTTAGGCAACCGCATGTGCTTTCCCCCTAAATACTTCAATAAAAATGATGTAGATTTCGAAGTGACCAAACATCTCATTCTCTTCAGCCATAAATCTTGTAGAGGCCAAGAGAGCCCAGTCTTACTGTTTTCCTTACTGGCACTTCAGTACTGTAATTCTTCTTTTTCCACTTTGGTTTCCAATGCAAGTTATAGTGTTTTGACCATATTCAAGTGTGCACATGGATAGAGCTGGACCACTCTGCATACAGATGGAATTATGTTGGTAGCCACACTCAATTTTAACCCAGTTCAGGATGCATGTGGTGAGATTATTTTTTTCCATCTGTGGTAGAACTGCTTTTACTCTATTGCTGTTTCTTACTGCCTTCGCTTCTCCTGTCCATCTGTAGCAACTGAATGCACAAAGCGACAAGACATGTCTGCTGCCCGTTTACAAGGTGCCACAGTGCCCTCTGGTGGGTACAAGGCACAATAGTTTCAGGCAAATCCCGCATGTGCAATGGCATGTTTGAAAAGCAAAATAATAATAATAATTACACTATAACATTTGAAAATGGGATCAAGTTAAAGGCACTTCGAGATTGTGCTGTAGTTAAATCGAGGTGTATAAAATCAAAAGTGTGCCTCCCTGGTAAACCTGTGTCCAAGAATGAATAAATCCTCTTTTCAGAAAATATTGTGGCTAAGCTGCTAATCTACTGTGGGCTCAAGTTCAATACTCTGTTCCACTAGTAAAGCTGGCTGATTTGCAGGCCATAGTGAGCAATGGCGCAAAAGCCAGACCAGAAGAAAACTATAGCACCCCTGCTTCTGTCATTCTCACCTCGTTGCTTGCAGATCCCACGGGGGTGGGGGGGAGAGACACACAAGAGTTCTGAGAAGGGGGTACCAATTTAAATTTGAAGACTGGCTGTATGCACACCTGCATAGCTGTCATCTAGGAGGAAGAGGAGGATGTTTGCACAACTACATGTTAAGGCCAGCTAGTATGTGTCCAAAAGGAACCCCAGACTCATTTAAGATTGAGAAATACTTGTCTTGCATAACTGAGGCTACTATGAAACTGGAGAGTGGCCAATCCACTTCTGGCACAGGCAACATGTGAAAAGTCTGTGTAACAGTGCCAGGTGTAAAATGAGGTTGTTGTACTTCCTAATGAAATTAACTGCATTAAATACCCCATGCTGTATCGTGACTGTGACCTGACTTATACCTGTTCTGAATCAGGGCTGGGGAACCACTTTTGGCCCAAGGGCCGAATTTATTGTTCCAAAGGTGGAAGTGGGCAAGCCACACCCACCTGCTCATCACCAGACATCAGGCAGAGGAAAGGTAAAGCCACGCCTGCAAAAGAACAATTAGGAGAATACTGTAAGCCTTCGAGCGAGTTCTCAATTGTGCCTTTGGAGCTGTGGCTTGAATTTGGCGGTGTCTGAACACGGCATATTTCCCCATAGTGCTACTTTCTTCATGGCTCTGATATAGCTGCAGTGAGCAAGTGCTTTCAGCCTCTTCCATAAGTAGCAAAACAGGTGAAAGACACCTAATTGAGATGGTGTTGAATTCAAGCTGTGGCTGCAAAGGAACAATGGTGTCAGGAGTTGGACAGGTGGGAGAGGATCACCTAACACAACCTCACAGGCCTACTCACAGGTTGGAGATTCCCTCCACCCCAACTGCTCTTTGGGGATTCAGGAGGTACGAGAGAAAGCCAGTTAAAGAGGAGTGAGGATGTGTGATGATGTATATAAAAGAGGGAGTGGGGAAGATCTGGTGTAAGCTTTTCCCCTTGCCGAGCAAACCTGGATTCATCTCCCCCTACAGTGCCATCAGCACACATACTTACTAGGGATTACATGACTGAATCAGCCACAGATCTTGTCCCTCCTGCCGTGGGTAATGTAAGCTATCTGACTTTTAAAAAAGATTTTTTAAAAAACCATCACTTGTACATCTAAGCACTCCAAGAGTTTATTTGCTACCTCAGTCCTGGAGAGGATTACGTATGTACAAGTAGGACTTGCAACAAAACAAGTTGCATTGTGGATGGAGTGCTCCTGCTCAGGGGTCCAGTTCAGCCTGCGTTGCCCTCTTAAATTGTACTCCATTCCATCTCCCTTCTGGTTTTCCTCCCCACACCCACCCACTAACCAGCATCCTGGGCACACTGAACATACTCAGTTCTAACTGGACTATTTTGGGACTTGCACTCTGAGTTTTTTCCTAAGGATTTTGTGTACTTGCGGTTCCCATGTATGTGTGGTGTAGTTTAGATACACAAGGATCAATACACCAAGAATGAGCTCACTACTCGTACATAGGACAGGACAAGAAGACTGGTGAATGCACTTTCAGAGCTCAGAATCTTTTCATGCACATCTTCAGCCTTAAGATACCAACCAAGAGGTACGGTTGGGTTTCTCCTCAGCACTAAAATTCTCCACACTGATTTATATTGAAACTAGCTAATGAACCAAGTTTCATATTCTAATATTTACACTCATCCTACATTCCCACCAGGACTAAGCCAATGAGTAGTAAAAACTGAAAATCAATTTTTTAAAAAGATAAAAACTATATTGAACAAGCTCCCTGTTTTTATCCACTAAAAAGCAAAACATTATTTCACCACCAGCATTTCTTTATAACCCCTGCTTGCCTGCCCCTCTCAAAGAATAGGTTGCCAAGTAACAAGGCCGGCTCAGGATACAGCTCAGAGGATCACACACAAGCACGCGGGAACCACAGTGCCTCCTTAACCATAAAACCTTTATTTGTTTCAAGTGGCCAAAGGGGGGGAATTCCATTCTTCTTTTGTCTGAAATGCATTATATGGCAGCCGAGAAAGCAGAAGCCTCACCTCTTTGTCTTCCCTCCCTACTTTGGGGTGAAAGAAAAGGGGGCCAGCACAAAGCTCCTTGACTGGTTACAAAAAAAGAATAAAGATACTTTATAAAAATGTATGTGGTATAAGGAGGAGGAAAAAAAGGAGAAAACAGCCAGGGCAGCGGCAGAGAGCATCTGACCGCCATATGCATGAGTGACTGAATGTGATACAAAGTGCATAAATGTGCCTCGTCCTCCCTCTCCCCTCCCCACCTCCCACCTCCCCCCACCCCACCCCAATCCCTCTAAGTTGTTAGGTGGGGATTCTGGCTCCAGACCCAACATGCTGCCTCCCACCCGTGAACAGCTCACTGGAACTTCAGCTGTCAGGGCCCCAGTAGCAGGAGAGCAACACCTGCAACAAAAAGAAGAATATGACAGGAATTACAAAGCTTGGCAGGCTTATTTGCTATAGTGCAGGAATCCCACCTACAGACTTATGCATCACCGCCCAACTTTGGCTCATGGGCAAAACATGTTAAAGGCTTAGTCTCCCACACAAGCCTACACACCCTTTGGAGCAGAACGTTCAAATCAAGGTGACCTTTTGTAACTGCATAGTTATTTAGTATGCCAAATTCCCTCTTCAGTTCTCTTTCAATTAGAATTCCCAAGGAACCAATCTTCCATTTCCCCAACCAAAATAAACGGGAAGTCATGTGCAGCATTGCCCACTAGGTGGCAAAAAGCTCCTAGAATAGCCTGCAAGTTGCAGACACAGGATGTTTCCCACCACATGCGGTTCCAGCTGCTGGAATGCTACTCTAGTTCCTGGAATAATGGTAGTCTGGTGCAGCAAAGACAGCCCAAAGAGTAACAAATGTATTATGACCGAAACTTTTGTAGACTAACATTCATTCTGTGCAATACATGGAAGTGCTATGACACGACCTGTACTTTTTGCATTTCATTTGCTTCTATCCTCATACACCCACACAGCCCCAAAGCACATATATTGCGTGCATGCACCTACTTAGGACAATATGTCATGCATCTGACGAAATGGAATCTAGTCTACAAACGTTTGTGCCTTGATAAACATGTAAGTCTTGAAGGTGACGGAAGACTGTTGTTTTTGCAACAATTCTCAGGTCAACCAGTGCAGCACTCATTGGGAATTGCCCTATACCAGTCACACTTCTTCAGCCTGGCAGCTAGTTTCCTCACCTACAATATGCACATACCATTTACACAGGAATCAAAGCACATGAATCATCCTGTGATGGTCTTGTCACTTTACATTAACTGCAATGGACCTCTGACAGATGGCAAATGTTTTAGGCTCCTCTACTACAGCTGTCTGTGGGATTACAAACAGCTAGGCAAGAGCATGATTATCATGAACATGCATGATAATTCACCTATGTAGGATTCCAGAGTGCCAGTTACCACAATGCAAGCACAGGTAATCCACTAGTGCAGCCTTCTGGGCTCATGCAGTTCTACTAACTATAGCTTTGTCCTTATAGTACCAGGACTAACCCAGTATACATTACCAGAGTGGTAAATGGAAAGGTCAAAAGGGACAGGAGGATTCCCCAAGCTCTCTATCCCCACCCCACACAAACACAACAAAAATAAATGTGTACTGAAAAGCATTGTATTTGAAATCACACTTTTGTGCAAAAGCTAACACAAGCAGCCTGAAGCTGCTGAGTGCAATCTGGACAAGACTTCAGTGAGAGCTCACGGAAGAGAATTTGGGGTATATGGATACTAGCAGGGAAGAGATTTAATGGCCACTCTTATAACTCTGTCCAACTGACATCCACTATGAAGAGTGCTTCAGCTTCCAGGAGGCCTAAATGCCTCATCCTGTTCTCTCAGATAACAATTCAGAGGTCTTAATGCTTGATGTACAACAGCCACAGACATTTTTCTGTAAGCATGCTTGACAAACTGCCAAGATTCCAACAAACTTTTCTTGCAGCTGCAGAACCAAAATGGCCAGCTGTGCTGAATGTAGTGCACTTGGAAAGCAATGATGATCCCACTTGCACAAATATTAGGGATCAGATGCCCATTTGGAAAGCTAGACTTAAGCCCTGCATCTGAGAAGAGAAACTTGCCTGAATGTTTTTATTTCAAGACTTCTTCTTTTTCAACTTCAGGACTTGCAGCCAATTGGGTGAGGATGTTTCTGACCTAGGGGAGTCAGGAAATGGTTAAAAGCAAAAGGTGGAACTACGATAGAAAAAAAATAATGGGTTACCCACATTCCAGAGGCAAAATGATGGACCTGGATGCTAAGAAATAGTTTGAATACCAACGCTCAGCATGCAGCCACACAGACATGCCACTGTATACAATTTTCCAACCCCTCCAACACTACACAGGCAAGGAGGCAGAGTGCAGAGAACAGGATCTAAGAGCCCTGCACCACTAATCCCCCCCCTCCAATCTAATATGTCTCATGAGTTGTGGGCAGGAAGCCTGAAGGAGCAGGTAGCGCTGTGACCCATGGCAGAACCCAAAATCACAACACTAAGTAACAGAGTTTGCCCCAAAATTATATATTTATTATGTTTCTTATGTATTTCAGTTACTTCTACCTGCCTTTGCTCACAGAAGTGGACTAAGGCAGCTTACAACAAGACCACGGCTACAGTCATAAAATACAAATCATAAATACAAGCCAGTAAGACAACAGCTGAAAACAACAATTAAAACATCATGGAGAGAGGCCAGGTTAAGTGAGCACCTGCTGGAATAAGATGTTATTCACTGCTTGCTGAAGGGCAAGCAATGAGGAAGTCAAGTGCATCTCCCTAGGCAGGCTGTTCCTTAATATGGACACCACAACAGAGAAGGCTTTCTCTCTCTCTCTCTCTCTCTCTCTCTCTCACACACACACACACACATACACAGAGAGAGAGAGAGAGAGAGAGAGAGAGAGAGAGAGAGAGAGAGAGAGAGAGACATCAGCCCGTTAGTTGTATCTCTAACAGCAAGTGAATATAGTAGAGGGCCTCTGTAGCGGAACAGCATTCCTGCGCAGGTTCTCATGGGAGAAGGCAATTCCAAAAGTAAGAGTACATCCAGTTTCAAACTTTTTGTAACATTAGTTTTTGAATGCTCAAAGAGGGAGCAGACAACTGCAAAGTTTACTTTAAAAATGAGAATATCCCATGAGGTCATTTGCTGGGAACACATCACTGAACTCCAAAATCTGTTTTAGGACAATACTTTTATTAGGCCAACCAAAAATGTCACAAAACAGCAGACAAGCTTTCAAGTTGCCCAGAACTCTTTATCAGGCTGGATGTTCAAAAAGCAACAGTGGGGAGAGAGAGGAGGAGGGAAAGGCCATGAGTCTGCATCAGGTAAGAGTCTTAACGCAAAATGCCTTTGTCCCTTTCCCTCTAGCTGAACGCCAACCACTAAGAGGTCTTGACTAGTTGGCATGCCAGAGTCTCATTTGATGCCAGCACTAAAAGGACAAAAGATTCCACCAACTAAGAATGACTATGCATTGTTCAGAGCAGAGAAGGGGGGGGGAGTAGAACTTGTGGTCTTCCAGATGTGGATGGACTGCAACTCTCCTCAGCCCCAGCCAGCATGACCAGCGGTCAGGGACAATGGGAGTTTCAGTCTGATAACATACAGAAGACCATGACTTAGAGGGACAAATGGTATACAGACACCTGTAACTGACCAACAATAGGCCAGCAAAGTCCATATGATTGAACAAATGCCCTCCATTCAGGATTCCAGCTGTTCCATTCCATTCTTCCCCATCCCTGGTTTTCCCTAGTCAAGGAACATTCTGTACTCATTAAGCACACTTAGTTCTCAATGGAATGTTTTTTGGGGAAGGGGGCATTCCCCTCAAAAAGGTTTCTTCCTTCAAGATTTTTTGTACTTCTGCAAACCTGAGGTGCTGCCTCTTGTGCATGGGTGGTGATGTTTTGACTACATAAGCAATGGTACTTGGAGAATTGAGAAGACTGATAGTATATATGATCTTTATCCTAATTTCCTGTGTATTGTTGTTTGCTGCCTTTCTTCTGCTATAGTTGCCAGAAAGAGTTGCAGCACACTCGCGTTCTGCAGCAAGCAGGATAACCACCACCGACATACCAACATATGTTATTTTCCACCACCACCACACACCTACCCTGAGGATTTCTCTGGTTTGGGTGGCAGCACCAGAGGCTTCCCAGTGATGTTGGCAATCTTGCACGATTTGGAGCGCTGAACATGGGTTTCCTTGGTCTCACTTTGGGGGTCCCCTTCCTCAGCAGAACGGTTTCGGCCTCGCAACTTGGCCTAGAATTGAGGACAACAGATTTACAAAAGCAGGCATTTAGTAAAACACCTAACATTTGCTTAGAGTTGTCCTACTCCCTGATCTTTCATTGGCAATTTTCTGTTTTTTCTCATAACTGCCCCCTGCACTTTCTTTACCATCAGGGGCTGCAGGTTAGATAGTAATCTCCTCTGACAAAGCAAAGACCTATCTCAAGTGTGTGGAAGCTTTTGGCTCCATGGGCCAGGAGTGTCTTGCAAGCCAAATTGGACACAACTAGCCCTGTGGGCCAAAACAAGCCTTGCAAGGCCACCCATTTGTCAATCACCTCACTAAAACAGTGAAAAACATTTTGTTTCAGCAGGGCTTTCAATGCCAACACCTTTTTATAACAGGAGATTTGCATTGAACCTACTGCTAAAGCAAAGGTTTTTCGTCCTTTCATTTTAGCAGGGGTTTTAATGCATGCACTTCCCTTCCTTATCACAATGGGTTCACATTGAAACTCCTGCTAAAATAAATGTTTTTTCCACCATTTTAGTAGGATTTCAATGCAAACCCCTTCCTGAACCCATGAAACCCCCAGCCGCCTATAGGCCAGAGGTTTATCAGCTAATTAGTCCAGCATCCTGGTTCCTCATGGTAGCTAACCAGATGCCTATCAAATATGAGTGCAATAGCATTCTACCATTGGTGATCCTCAGCAAATGATGTTCAGTGGCATGATGGAAGTAATGTTTATCCACCATGACTTGGAAGCATTGACTGTCTCATTCTCCATGAGTTTTTCTCCCCCCTCCTTTCATTCAGTACTTTGATTTTAGCTTGGAATTCTAACATTTAACATTCCACTATCTGATAGCAAAGGCCACTCAGTTTCTAAGAGCCAACCCATATTTGTTAACATTGTGTCATTCTTTATCCTGTCCCCAACCCCTTTCCAGGTACTACCTTCAATGCCGATGGGTTCAGCCCTGGGAAGAGAGGGACCTTTACCCCCTTTGACAGTGGAGATGTTCGTGACTTCCTGCTCCTTGGTTCCTCTGGGGCTTCTTCATCAGAGACCGCAGAAACTATTCGAGGCTCTAAACAGGGAAGAAAATAGCAATGCCATAATGCAGAAGAACCCATGCTGACACCATGTGACGCATTTTAATCCATGCCCCAACAGGAGGAAAAGAATGACATAATCTAAAGTGCAGTGCCTAGAAAGCAGAAATGACAGGCAACCTAGGACACTCCTGTTGGAAACCTTTGTCACACCAAGTCATGCTATATGTGGCACATCTGCTGAAGCCTATAAAAAAGCCTAAGCACATGTAACTGAAGCAACCACATACTGCTGCCTTGGTTATCCCCTCTTCACTCTGTAAATTCTAGACTGCAAGCTCTAGATAGAAGCTTGCATTCTTGTACTGGTAGCATAATATAAACTACCTTAAGATGGCCTGGCCCTAAGCAGTGCCTCTGTAGTGAACGCTGCCTGGGAATCATATGCAAGCTGCTTAGAGCTTTTTGTGAAGAAAGGCAAGAATGTAAGTTAACAAAATAAGCCACGCACAAAATGACATAACCAAGTAAGACACAAAGAGATAACACATCCAAAACCGCTTCAGTAACAGGTGTTCGGAATACACCAATGAAGGCTACATGCCAGGCCCAGGATGCAATGCTCCATGCTACCTGTGGAATCTCTGAACATCCAATTGTCTCCGTCATTCTCGGAAAGAGCCCCTCCAGACCGGGTGGCTGGTGCACGATGACCTCGCTTACGGCCCAAATTAACACGGTCACGATACACAGTGTTGTCAAGAACCTCTGTATCCTGAAAGCATACAGAAGAGGAGAACAAAGAGATCAGAGAAACACATTTCTCCCTCAATGAATGCACAGCAACACCCAGAGTGTCCCCATAGATCCTTCTCAGCTTCAGTTCCTCCAAGGAGCAGAAACTGAAGAGTACTTCATACACTTTCCAGAGACATGCACAGCTTGCAGGACCACAGCTAGCAAAACATCCACATATTCCCACAAAGCCGAGCTCAACCATTAACAACTTGTCCTTTCATTAAAAACTGTTAATATGTGTCGGTTTTCTTCTATTTCCTGCCCCAAATACTCTTCTATGGTTGGCTCACCTTCTAAATTTTAGGTGAACGACTGACAGCTATGAGTAGAGGAAGGCGGGGAGAACTGCTTATGAATTTTTCCAACCAGATTGCACTGCATCAGGCTCCTTACATTGTCCTGGGGTGTCACTCAAGTCTAAAGTGTGGGATGAGGCTGGTTACCAAAAGCCTGGACACACTAGTTCTGCCCATGTAGCACAACACAAGGGCATCACCAGGCTGTGTGGGAAGGCTTCTGGGCAGACTGGCATGGGTGGTTGGCTGAAACCTTTCCTACAAATGATTTACAGCTTGCATGAAAACCAAGGGACAAAAATAACTTTGGTTCAAGGTTGCCCAACTGAAATGGCAATATTAGAAAAAGGATTTAGATTTCGCTTCTCACTCTCTAGTCTTCCAGCTTATTTCTACTTCAGCAGCAAGACATAAGCTGTTTGTTGGAGGACTCATGACTCATGAGTCAACTTGTGAAGTCTGAAATATTATCTGGAGTCAGCTACCAAAATACAGCCAAAATAGGCAAGGTTATGAGCTATTCTTTATACATAGAATCACAGAATCATGGAATTGTAGTTGGACGGGACCATGAGGGTCATCTAGTCCAAAACCCTGCAATGCAACATCTTTTGCCCAACGTGGGGCTCAAACCCATGACCCTGAGATAAACAGCCTCACGTTCTACTGACTTAGCGATCCCTCTCAATCCAGAAGCAATTATAGAAGATGACAAAACCCTTTGTAAAGCAGGTCTGAAATGGAGCATTTGCCTGAAAGAAAGCATTAGGAACCCATGTTTCTATATCAGCTACACATTTAAATGTAATGTAAAAGCCCCTCAAACCTTAGAATTGCTGTGCACGTATAAGTCCATATCCTGCAGAGAAGGCTCAGGGGTCAAGCAGGTACCTCAGAAACATCTTAAGTACTACTTACCTCTAAGAAGATGAAGTTCTCCCCTTCAGGAGCAATAGCTCCCTCTGAAGCAGGAGCCTTCTGTGATATGGGCTGTGCAGCTTGACTTCCATTTTGCTCTGGATGATTCAACACTCTCAGGTCCACGGGTAGCTGACTCCCATTTCCACTGTCTAACTGGCTGTCCCCACCATCTGCAGCAGACAAAGCTTTTCCATCCTCCTTTGCTGAGAAAGGCAGTCCTTCAGCCCTTTCAGCAAGAGCCCCCTGGTTATTACGCAAGCTGCGCAGTATCCTCTCTTCTTCTGAATGGCAGCTGTGGAAGGAGGCAGGTCTCTTCTGCTGGGCCACCTCTTTGACAGCACTATTGGAAACCATGTCTTCCTGCAGGCAGCTGGGGCTGGAGAGTCGCTCACTACGGAATTTCCTGCTTGGATGTCAGATAATGAACATTAGGGTAAAGTTCTTCTTAATTCTTATCAACAGGTCTCTCACTATCCTAGCAAAATTCCCCCTCCCCAACTCCAAGCATCTCCATATCTCCTAATCATCCCAAAGCCATTTTTCTCCTCACTGTACAAAAGAAATGACGGTATGTGAAGGTCAGGACTCGACAGCCAAAGCGAGAATGAATACCTTACAAACATGATGCAGGCCTAAGGAGGCATCAGAGATGGACAAACCCACAACGGAGGATTCAAACCTACAATTGCCAATGGTCAAAGAGTACAAATACCTCAAAGAGAACTCAAATCATGACCCTACACTTAAGCCACGTGGTACAATCATCGTAGGGATATCCACTTCACAATGCAGGTGGAAGCTCATGTGATCCAAGGCAGCAACAGTTTGCATTAGAGAAGACAGGAGGAAAGATAAACCTGCACATTTCCCGACTGCCAAAATAAATACAGGCTATACTATATGACCATTTCAAAAGGCTGGACTGTAATGAGGAGTGTGGAATATGAAACTCTAGCTACCCCACAGACTACAGATTCCTCAGGCCAAAGGCTGCCGTTATGACATGTCTGCCCAATTTACAACCCACAGCCTGCAAAAACCCTGGCTTGACAACCTCCTTGGTTTTACATTCCCTTAAGGGCAACTCTAAAAGAACAATCCTATGCATGCTTACTGAGAATTAAGTCCCATTCTGTTCAATGAGGCTTACTCTCACATAACACACATAGTCCTGGTTAGCATGTAATGGTAAACCATAGCCTAAAATTACGGTTTACCATGACCCCATGTTTTTGGAGCGTTTTCAAACAAACCATGAGTAAGAAATCAAGGTTTGTCTTTGGTTTGCCACTTGTGGTTTGTTTAGTGGGAAACAAACCATGAGTGCCTGTTTGCATGCAATGCTAAGCCAGCAATGATTTGCTTCTGAAAAAGGACAAACACAGAGGTCACAATCCGACCACCATGTACAAGTATACTTCTTGTTATAGCCTTAATCAACTTCAGTGAGCTGCTAGGCACTGCTGCATTCTGTTCCCTCTGTGGCCTGAAGAACGTAAGTATGAAGAGGGGGAGTACCCAAGACACAACACATTAATTAATTTTCATTCAATTTACACTGGTTTGGATGCTGATACTTCCTGGTTTCTCATTTTGAGTTGCAGGGATTAGCAGAGAGATTCAATCACTCCATGCATGGCTTAAGGGTGTCAAGTGTACAAAATTACCCAATATACAAGAAAGCCTTTGTCTGGAAGTTACGCAGCAACCAAAACAGGCAGAGGCAGCTTCAAAACAAGAGTATGACTAGGCATGCACATGAGAAGGATTCCACATCAGAGAAAGGCAGCATGCTAGGCTTGGACTAGGGAGCCCCAAGTTAATATCCATGCTCAGCCATGATGTTCACTGGGTGACCTTGGCTGTACCCTCAATTCTCTCCAACCCCCATTTTAGCCAAATCAGAAGGCACATCATTTAGCTAAGAAGAGTCCTTGAGTGAAACCTGCACCTTTTAAAATGGCTGTGTGCATGACATTGAAAGTCACACCTTGTTGTTCTCCTTGAATTCTCTCTACAGTTGCCAAGGCCATCTCTATATCCATTTTCATTAGGTTACAAGGACGAGATGATGGCAATCAGTTATTTGAGATTAAAACTGACCCAATTCTTCCTAATTTCCTATGGAGGGCACGATGAGAAGACTTCAGTTCTTTCCCCAGGCCTTTCAACATTTTCAACATATGTTACCAATCAGTGCTTTTAACATTATTTTGTTTTGTTTTGATAAACTTGATGACAATGAGGCTTATGCTCAAGAGGAGTTTAGCATTTAGTCTGTTTGTTTGCTATGGTTCATTTTTGCTGCTGTACTTGATTAAATTTAATATATTTAATTTTCACTGTTGGCCACTTGGGGATCCAGCATAATGGTGACTAATAAATAATAGTTTGTCCCTGTTTCATGGTTAGCTTAAAAAGTGCAGCACTGCAAACTATCTTTCTTGTCCCTTTTGCTTTCCATAATCACAATCCAATTTGATGACTTTGCATTTAAAAGAGCTCACAATCTGGAAGTCTTATTCCAAGCAGTGACATGAGTTCCTCAAATGCTAGAACAGAAAGATGCTGGTTATAACCCACAGAAAGCGATAGAAACACGGCAACAGCATTAGCTGTATAAAAAGAAAATTGTTTCAAGTTTAGGAAAGTGGGAGAAAGGCAACAGGGGTTTGTGCGGTCTGCTACTCCTACTCTGTTTTGCATTTCAAAGAAGCTGGACAGTCATCAAAATTGTTATTTCCCCAGTGAAAGCAATACAGGTATAGATCCAGATTTGAGGGCTGGGGGGGGGGGAATAGCTACCACTTCATTCCAGGAAGAGACCACAAGGGCCTGGTCCAACCCCTTCTGACCTACTTCTGTTATGGAACCTGTTCCTACCTCTGAAATAGTGTGCCACTTCCACATCAGCACAATCCTTAAGCCATACTTGCTGCTGGTCTCTCAAGTACCTAGTTGTGGAGAATGTGTTGCCAAAAAAGAGGTGCTCAAAAGCACATGTTCAAAGGAGGGAGCAATGCCACCTCACATCCTGACAAAGCACTCCTACTCCAGTCTAGAGCAGCGTTTCACAACCAGGGGCCATATGCTGGGGCCCAGGATATTCCAAGGGGGCCACAGAGAAAATTGCGTAAATGAGGGACCACAGCAAGAGGCATGGGGGGCACAGAGGGAAGTGAATCATTTTTTTAAAAAAACTAGTCAGCAAATCCAAGGCTGAAGAGAAACAAGTGATGACGAAGAGAGATACTGTCACTCATTTTCACCCATAACAAAGAGGTTGTGACTTCAGAGCATGCTGAATGAGAGTGCTAATTATGTGCATAAGACATGGGACCTGCTGGTACAGGATGTTGCTGAAGCAAGACCGCTAACTGAAAGCCAAACACTAGAAGCAATTCATAAAAGAATCAGTCCTCTTCTCATTCCTGCTGAACATGGCACCAACCCAAGACAAGACAGTGGAACTGATCATACGACAGCAAAGGTGACAGCTCTTGCAGAACAGCAGTTGTATCATTAGGCATTTGCCTGGTCAGCTAAGGAGAGTAAAAATATACCTCCAGGTAACCTGCTGCAGCCTCCCCCCCCCCCCCCCGCCTGCCTGATTTCATTCTACAACAGCCACAGTACTCTACTGTGTTTCCACAGTTAGAAAAACAAAACAGTGCACATCATGGCTACTGGGTGTGCAGTTGCTGTCATGACCAGATGGAGGGTAGCAGTGGAGCATCACTGGATTTTCTCACCAAAGAAACAAGAGTTACACACTATGATTGTTGCTTCTAAACCTCAGGGCCATATTCAACTAATATGTTGAGCTAAAGTTCCATCACCACAAGGATTTTATTTGTTGGATGGAACCTTCTCCCTCTCTTCTTCCCTCTCCCACACCACCAAATGTGACCCATGCCATCCCCAAATCTGCTATGGAGAACTGGGGGGAAACCCATAGTAGATTTAGGGGCCACACAGGGAGTGAGGGAAAGAAGTTCCATTGCCTGGGCAGTGTTTCTACACCGCAGCGCCGTAGAAGTTGCCTATCCTGGTTCCCACAAAGATTTCTGGCTTCAAGAGGTAGCTGTAAGGCCTACCTCAGCAGCTGTGCACCATAGACACAAAGTAATATGTGGTACTGGCTATACTAACAATGGATAACATGGAGGGATGAAAGGGAATGGTTGCAAACCGATTAAAAGTGTGCAACTGTGCTTTTGACTTTACAAAAGGAATTTACAAAAGGAAATCAATGCAAAAACAAAATCAGTACTTCAATTCCATTGTCCACTTGTATTCATTTAGCCTTCCACTTCCATTCTAACTTTCTTAAGAGACATGGGGCTGTGCCATCACTTGCTTCACTCACCAACACCCACCCACCCCCCAGTCTGACCCACATTAAGCTGCTCAAGGGGTCCCAACTGTTCCTCTATGACTCACTTGGCCAGGTCACCTGCTTCACTTCCCTTGTTGTCTGACACTGCTGAGGCTGAAATGGCATCACTGGTGTGAGGCGAATAGCAATGGATATGGCGGAAGCAGCAGCACAGCTGCTCAGAAAATGTCCTGGCAATTCCTCTGCAGATCGCCTGGGCAACCTACCCACCTGCCTTCATCTTCTCATCCTCCTCTAATAGCACTGTGAAAGCTCTCATAGGTCTGTTGTCACACTGAAGTGCACCTGTTGGAGACCAAGTGAACTGAAGCATGAAAACATCTGAACCTTTTTATAATACATTAGGATACAGCCTTTACCTTTCTCCAGAGACTCCAGCTGCTCTTGGATGCTCCATCTCATCACCATCCAAAGGTGTCGCTCCAAACTGATAGCTGCTGTCCTTATGCTTTATCCCAGTTGCGCCAGTCCAGTCCATCTGTATTAGATCTACTTCCTCAGCCCCATCCAAAGCCTTGGGCCTCAAATCAGACACTTCCATGCTTTCAGTGCCAGATCTGTAGGCCAAATCTGCTTGTCCCACACCAGGTTCTCTGGTCTCCTCTGGATTCACAGTCCTTACATCTGATGAAGCAGACAAGGTTTCCAGACCCAAGGAAGGAAACCAATGAAGCTGCTTCTCTGTAGGTTTTTCAGATGCATCTGGGCTCCCAACTTTCAAGTCTTTTGAGAGATCCATGCCTCTAAGGCCAAGATCTTGAGTCCACTCAGGCTGCCCCTCTCCAACTCCTCTAGGCTCATCCATAGCAACTGCTACTAAGTCTCTAGAGTGACCTACCAGGCTGCCAGCTGTCTCCTCCAAATCCACGGTCACACTTAGACTTGGTAACTCTATTGGACCAAAACTACCAGCTCGGTCCTTCCCTATAGCACCTAACTGGTTATTTTGTTTAGTTGCCGAGACATCAGTGTCTCTGACCCATTCTCTTGTGGCAATGGGGAAATCACTATCTTGTAGATCAGATTCCCTAAGGTTGTAATCATCAGCCCAGACTGGCTTCCGGGCACAGTACTCCAGATCACCAGCCTCAAATTCAGTGGTGCTGCTTCTGCTTGCAATACTGAGTTCTCTTTCCCAGCGTGTTTGATTATCATCATATTCACTGGCTCCATCTGGTTTTTCAGCACTGAGCACACCATCATGGCTTTGGGGAATACCCATGACATATCTGCTTGGCCAATCAGACTGTTTGACACTCAGTTCAGACTCCTGACAGCTGCCATCATCAAAGCCATATGTATTGGGTCGTAGTCGCTGTTGGATGCTAACCTGGGATTCTGGATGATTGGCACTATATTCACTAGGTTGCTCCACCTGGTTGGCATGGGACTCTGACTGCACTGGGCTAGCCCTGCTGTCAACATTGGAATCACTAGGCCAGCCTGACTGGCTGGCACTGGATGTGGCATCCTGAGAGCCAACATTGACAGCACTGTGATCACTGGGCCCTTCTAAATGCCTGGCACTGAGCTCTGCATCCTGGTGGCTGTGAGTACCGTATTTGCTAAACGCATCTGATGATTTTGTGTTAACCTCCAATTCTGGACAGCTATCCTTTTCTTCACTGTATTTATTGGGCCAGTCAGTTCTTTCAGTAGCACCAACGTGATAGGGGCTGCTCCAACCCATTTTCTCAGCAGCAGACCTGCTGCTCTCCGGATCATCTTCATTACTGCAGAGTCTGGGCCAGCCTGGTTTTCTCACGTATGGCTCTCGGTCCTGACACTCAGCAGTGCTGATGCTATATGTGCTGCTCCAATCTGGCTCCTCAATCTTCTGGTCACCACAGCTGCTGCCATAGGCAGTGATCCAATCTTCTTGCCCTGGATTAGAACTGTCCTGCAATGGTGTTCCTCTGGTCCAGACTTTCTGGCTGGAACCAAATTCCATATCCTGCCTTTTGGCATCACTGTATGAGCTCAGCCACTCCTGTGGGCCAGTGCCAAATTCTCGATCCTGCTCTGTCTCACCGGGCCAAACTACCTTGCCAACACCAGCAGCCCAACCCATGCCAAAGGTAGCAGACCGATCAACTTCTACAAAGCCAAACTCGCTGTGAAGATCCTTCCTTGACCATCCCAGAAGATCCTAATAAAGAAAGGCGAGGAAAATAAAGCAACATTAGAAAGGCATGGGACAGTGAGCCAAATTTAGTGGGGATCTGATCTAGTAAAGATGTCCCTTCTCCCAACAGTCCAATATGAGAAATACATTAAAGAGACAGAAACTGAAAATGTAAATTCACTAAGCCCTTCCTGTATTATTATTATTTTAAACCAGTTTGAATATATTTCACTTAACATGCACAATTTAGGAAAGGGCCATTACTGGGTAGCAGCACGTTTTGCATGTAAAAGTGCCAGGTTCAATCCCTGCCATCCACAGACTGAGCTGGTAAAGATCCCTGTCCAAAACCTTGGAGAGCAGCTGATCAGTGTAGACCATTATATCTTCAGATCTACTAGATCTACTACTAGATCAACATGACTTAAGGTGGGCACAACAACTACATCACAACCTTATAAATATATAGTAAAAAATTAAGATGCTTATGCCAAAAGCATGTTTGAACTAAAAATGGGTCCCAGGTCTAAATTAGACATGAACTAGAGGGATCAATGGTCTTGGTTCAGTCTAAGGCAGATTCCTATGTTCCTAACACTGCAATCTTCCATTTAGAAAGTTCCTCCAAATGGAAAAATATATCAAACCCACATGTATGATTTTAGAGGAAAAGTTTTCCTTTTATTCTCTGTCATCCATTGTAAAGGCCTTTGGCTATATACAATTTTAAAAAAAATGACCATACATAGAGTGATAAGCCTGCACTTGGTAATCATCCACTCATGTGTAGATGAAGCAAGTTACATGCATTTAGTATAGAAACAATTATTTACGTAAATGTGTATGGAGCGGGACCTGGTGGCAATTCTTTCTTTGGTCTTTCATGCTTGCTCAGTTTCCTACATAGAAGTGTTTTCTATGTAAGGAAATTATAGCTTGAAACGTGCCTGTTAAAAATTAGTTTTAAAAAATAATTTGGAATTTTGGCAAGTTCCATATTGGTAGAATGCAAGGAAGATTAAAGAGGTACTTATATGGCCAGGAAAATAAACTAGTAGCCACTGGTACTGAATTGTTCACTGGCAAAGAACCCCCTTGCAAGCCTGATCAGACTGTGAGACTTTGGGGCTTTCAGAAGCACCCCCTATTATAACCACCTAATGAACAGTTAATTCTTGTTCGCTAGAGCACGTGAGCCTACCAAGGTATGCACATTAGTTTTGGTATACAACCCAGTACATTAAGTGATGTGCCTTGTAGCTACATAGCTATGGAGCCCTACCAAACTAAGGAGCACCAATTCATTCTTAGGCTGAGTCTGCTGGAGCTCAAGGCACAATTTCTTGGTGGCAAAGAGGGCCAACCAAACAGACAAAAGTAACTTTGATGTGTACGGGCAGGCTGGATTCAGGAAGGTGAGGGAAGCTGCTCCACCCAGGATGACTGGAGGATTACCCACGCAGCAGCACCTTTTGGCTCAGCCTCCTCTCTTGCACGCTCTGCAGCCATCTAACCTGTTCAGCCACTTTTGCGGCTTACTTAAAAACCAAGACCCGCCCTTCCCAAAGACAAGTTCAGTCTCTGTTATTTAACTGGGCAGGAATGCACATTCACCTAGCCATGCTTGTGCCCATTTAATGCCTTCTTACCAGGTTCTAAAAGCACTAGAAATAGGAAGCCAGTAGAACTGTCTCCTTGCAACCCGTTTTGTGGTCTTCAGCCAACCACCCATCCCCGCACTAAATACAGTTCCTTTACCTCTGGTCCTGTAGGGTCTTCTGACTTGGGCGTACTTCTCTTCTTTATGTCATCAGCACTAGGCGGAGGAGATGCCAGCAGTTCATCAAGCCAGTGTGAGCCTGGATCAGGGTCAGCCCTCCTTTCGGGGTCAGCAACCCCCAACTTGCCTTCACGTGCCAGACCTACAGCACCATCATCTTCTTGGCAGGGAAGCAGCTGTCTGCACCTGGACATCTTCAGAGAATAAGATGCAAGGCTCTGCAGGAGGGCAGCCTGCTCTACACTTGGCAATGGCTCCATTGCCCTTAAAGCCCCTTTCCTCAGGGGTTGGGACAAAGGATAAGAAACCATCACGCTCCTCTTGACAACCAACCTCTGCTGCTGCTATAGGGCCCTTGAGCTTGGGGCTAATAGGCTCCCTCAGAGTTGAGGGACCTCCAGGTGCTGATATCTCAAGGGCTGAAGGGGACTCCAGCTGGTCCTCAGCCTTTCTCCTGATCCCTGGGGAACTCCTGGAATTGCTGTGGCAGAACAAGCTCCCATAAGCCTCAGTCTCCTCTCCTCTCTGGCCCTCTGAACCTCTTTCCTTATAAGACCCTTTGGGGCTGAGGCTCTCTCTATCCAATTCTGCCTCCAAGAGACCAGTATCATCAGCCTCCGCAATGGGAGACCTTGGAGGAGACCCCAGTCTCCTTCCACCAAACTCAAGAGCCCGGTTAGGGAACGACCATTCAAAGGACTGTGACAAGCTCCAGTTGGACTCTCCTCCTGCAGCCTGCCTCTAAAGCTGGGTCCCCTCCTCTTGGCAAGACAGCCAAAGACCCTCCCAGCTCCTCCTTGTCCATTTTTTTACCCCGTGGCTGCAACACCCCTTCTGAGGGCACGCCGCAGAACCAGTTGAGATAATTGGGGGTCTTTACCCCTCAAATGGTAATGTTTGGTGCTTGATTGTCGAGGGAATCCTTAACCCTGGAGAGTAAGGGGGAGGCCTGTGCATGAGAGGGAGAGCCAGGAGGTTTTATCAGAACTAGCAAGGTACTCAGAAGGAGTGCTCGGGGAGCCAGGGGACTCCGACACTCCTCGGAGACCACAGGGTGTGCCAGACTGTGCTCAGCAGCAGGATGAGTCAAACTGGCAGATGGCCCAGCACATCTTGCAGAAAGGTCCCCAAGACCTGAAGACAAGGAGTGTCCTAGGAAACCACTGGGGGATCCTGGGGGGCAGGGATCAGATAGGGCAAGAGGGGAACCTGGAGCCTGGGCATGACCAAGGGAGACCTTAACAGGAGATCTGAGGGGTTCAGTAGGTGCAGTCAGGAGAGCCTGGGGGAAGCTGAGCTTTAGCACTTGGGACATCTGCTGGAAAATGTGGGCTCTCTGGGGACTGGGCTGATTCAGCAGGGGCATCAGGGGAGCCCAGGAGTGACTCGAGAAGAAAGCTTCGTGAGGAGTTGATAGGTCTTGGGGAGAGAGACCTGGACGAGAAAACAAGGGAAGAATGGGTTTTAAAAATATGATTCCTCCCTCCCTGGAACCTTCCCGAGCATCCTAATCTGTCCCCCTCCAGCCCCAAAGAATACAGGATGTCTCCTCCAATCCTAACCTCTTCCCTCTTTTTTCTAGACCTTTAGAGATTGGTCCTTCATGTCTTGGATGTTCTGGTTTCACTACAAGACCCCACGAGACCCTCCCCAACAATATTTCTGCCCGAAGGAAGCCAGAAGGAAAGGAAATTCAAAGAATGGAGGAAGGGGAAAAGAGAGGCTGAAGAAATCGTTCAAAGTGTTGCAGTAACAAGGCTGTATGCCCCACCCCAGGACCTTGCCTCCTCTCCAACTAGGCCTTCAGAAAAGTGAAGAACTAAGCTAAGTAGATCACACAATAGGCTGATGACCTTCCTTCCCCCCCTCCTCCTCCTCTGGGAGAGGCAAAAGGAGTTAATCATTACCATCACCCATCCCTGAACAAGCAGCAAGAGGGTATAGTGCTTTCACTGCTAGATTATTTGGCCACAGGCCCAGCTGCTGGGATCTGCTTCATACATACCTTGTAGGTCACCAAATTGTATTCACTGAGTCACAGCTGCTCCCTTCCCTCCAGCTAAGGGCCTGGTATTATGCATTAGGTTTCCACACTTTGCCTGGGCTAGGTTCAGGCTAGCTAGCTAGCCTAGGCCAGAGTTTGCTCTCTAAAGAGCTGAAGGGTCACAGATCCATTTTTCTCATTTATTTTCTAACTCTTCCAAAAGCATAAGGCAGTATTGGGACTGTTAGTGGGAGCATTATGTGCTATACCAAATGCCAAGATTATGCTCTGGATTTTTCAAAACTGTACCATGCAAGGTAGAAAAATGAAGACTTCCTCAGAGTCGATGTCACCATGTCTTGCACATGAGGTTAGGGCTTTCTTTCAAACTGCAGGCACCTACGTAAGCCAGCCCATGGGATTTTGGCAAGGACATACCCAGTTACTGAAAAGCAACAAATATGGCCTGGGAAACCCCATAGCAGTGCAAGATAGTGCATTGTTTGCTTGGGCTACCAATCTCTTCTTGAAGAGAAGCATTAGTAGAGAAAGGAGACACGCACCCTACAGAAGGGAGCCCGGAAGGAGAGAGGTGGCAGATACCCCTGAGACAGAGGGAGCCAGGAAGGAGAGAGCCAGCGGAGAAATTGCCGTGCTGCAGATAACTCACGCAGGAGGAGACAGAGTAGACTGCTATATCCAGTTGCCTCCATCACAGCTCATGCTAGGTTGACTGGAGCTGCTGAGAGAAAGATTGCATCGCCATCAAACAAGCCTGATTACTGATGGGAAAAAGTGTATCACATAACGAATGGGAGATGGGGAACCCCAAATCATCTAATCCAACCCCCACAATGTAGAGTTCATCAGAGTTCTTCTAAAAGCAGTTACCTGTGCCTGATCAACTGTTCACCTACAAATAAATCCCAAGAGTTGCTACCACTCATGACATCATCGCAGGATTTAAGGTTACTGAGATTTCACAGAAACTATAGTTGGGAGAAGCATGCCCAATTCTAGCCATTGAATTCAAGTTGTGATTAATTCAATGGTATTTATTGCCATGTATGTAATGCCCAGGAATGTAGCCTTCAGTTGTGCCAACCCTCAGTTTTCATTCTTAAATCACAGGAATAATTTACCTCTGCTAGAGCCAAATGTGAAAGAACAAAGAAAGAACTGCCAGCAGGTCACCTTCTAGACACATTTACTGTATTGCTTTCATTTTCCTAGCACTGTTCTCTAGTTGCTGACCTGCATCCCATCTCTTCCTTGACAGAGGGCACTCTGTGATGTATTGCAAAGCTGATCATCTAAGATTATGTGGAATGAATCTGAACCTCACCTGTCCTTAGAGAGTAAGTCTAAGTTTCTCCGTTGCTCTTGCTGGTAGCTCAGATTCAGGCAGATGCTGACCATTTGAGCTTGTGATTTCCTCCTTGTTCCTTGACAATATGCTGTCCTCAACTTCACAAGAGGCTCTGCAAGCAGGACCCTCCGACTCTGTTTCACCCCCTTCTCCACTGGAACATCTCCGGAATGCAGCATAACCCTTAGGCCCCAGGTGGACAGCTGTGGTACCATCCTGGCTGAAGAAGGAGCGTACCAGCCGAGGCCTATCAGGGCTGCTTGCCCCTTCTTTGTTGGGCTTCTCCATCTTGGCCAAAATCTCCTCCACTGTGGTCCCAGGAAAACGCTCTGGTTTGGCTGCTACTGGCACCGGTATTACTTTGAAGGGAACAGCACCCTTGCGGACACTGGAGGACTCTCCACACTCCTCTCCGGATGCTCCCTCCACAGCACTTGATTTATTTGCAGGCCCAGTTCCTTCTCCATCTCCAGCTGGTTTGGCTGTGGTGGAAAATGGATACAAAACCTCCTTCCCATTGGTAGCTTCTCTTGGAGAGGTCTTTAGACCAAAAGAAAGACGCTTAACAGCATTGCCAGCCCCACTATATGGCTTGGGCCCAGCCAACAAGTTGATCTTTTCAGCAGAGGGCACTTCAGAGAGAGCCTGACGCTGTCCAGGAACAGGCTTCACTGGCATGGCTGGCTTTGGCAACACACAGGGCTTGGGTTTCACGGGTGGCTTTGGACGGGCATCCCCTGAGGAAAAAAGGATGTGGGGAAAGATGCATTTTATACAGAGCTCAACCAGAACACAGGGCAACTAAATTATATGGATCAAAATAATAATCCATTGCCTAAGTACACAAAAAATAAAAATAAAATGAGCTCTACTAATAATCCTTGCTAAATTTCCAAACTATTTTGCAGGAAACCGAGAAGCCACTAAAACTGCATGCAGCTTTGGACACAGGTCAGTCTAGAGAGGATCTTCTAGTCCATTAAACCAGAAATAGCGGTAATAAAGATTACCAACAGAAGCCATGAAAATGTTTTTGGAATGCATTTAAATTGCAAATGGTAGTATTCAGAGTAGACCCACTGAAAGTAATAGCATTACTAAGTTAGCTCTATTACTTTCAATAGCTCTGCTCTGAATATAACTTAGTTGCATACCACCCGTTGTTCTCAGGTCAGGCAGTGGAATCAGAGCCTTTACGTGATTAGCCGAACTGTGTGGTGCAACTTTTAGGGAAGACACCACTTCAATTATAGGTGCAGGGCTGCCTCCTGGGGCAAAGAGGAATCCCCCATGCACACAGAAAACAAGCATGTCAGGAAAAAAGGTTCAAGGTTAGCCTTCTCCTGGACACAATAGCTTCCATGTTTTGTTTTTCACACATTCAAATATGTTGTCCCCTACTTTCAGAATGAAGAGCTACAATCCCTCAAGAGCTGCATTAAGTGATTCTTCTGCTTGCTATTTGACTCCGTTCTTCATTCTCTGGTGCACCACCACCCAACATAAACAGAAAAATTTAAATACCTAGCAACTTGGCACACCATCTCCCATATTTAGCTCTCTCAAACAATCAACTCAGTTCTGCTGAGCTGAAGGCTCACAATGCAAGGCATACCTATCTCCGGACTGCTTGCTAGTTGTTTGGGTCCTCTCCGGCCATTAGCAGCAGTACAGGGAAATGGGGAGCACAGCGACTGAGGATTAGAGTCCATCACATCACCGGGCTGGGACTCTGAACTCAGCATAAATGTCAGCCCCTAGGATACAGGAAAAGGAGTTTAGGCAGTCTGCAAAACTTGTAAAGATAGCAAAGACCTTCAATGCAACATCAGACCATAGATGCTTCCTCCCAGAATGCAAGTTTTCCAATATCCGCCTTTGTTCCTTTGAGAGAGGA